CCGGCACCACCCCCGGCCCCAGCCTGCAGTGGCAGTGCAGCCTCACCCTGCACGCAGATCTGGGGCACATATACCACCCCCCACCAGCCCCATGCCCTCCCAGGGCAGTTTTATAGATTTCATGGACATTTGGGCTGGAAGAGACCTTGCGAGATCATCAGATCCAGCCCCCTGCCCAAGGGGCAGGAAGTCAGCTGTGGTCAGATGACTCCAGGAAGATAAGCATCCAAGCCTTTCTTAAAAGGTAGTTATTGTAGAATATTCAACAACTCCAGTCTACTTTACAGTAACTTACTCATATGCCCATGTCCGCAAGCTTCGCTTGAGCAGACCTACCTCTATGTAGAAAGTAGCATGAAGATTCAGTTGAGTGCAACCTTGACCCCTCTCCTGGAAAAGGGTGTCAAGATGTTTCAGTCTAACTCAAAATAATCTAGTAACAAGCTATACTGGACTTCATTTCACCAAAACAAACAAACAAAACAAAATAAAAACACAAGCAACCAACAAAAAAAAACTCCACATACAGCTATTCAGCAGTCTAATTATTCTGTTGGCATGTATAGGATTTCTTGTGGATACAGAATTATTAGGGGTGGACCAGCAAAGATCTTTTGGGCAGATACCAATGGCCAGTTATTAACATGCCATATCAACTAATACCAATTTGATTGCCAATATGCAGCCCAGCAGGTTGGAGAGCAGCACCTGGCTGGCAAGTCTGTTTGGGGGGTGGGAAGGGGCATGGAGCAGGGAGGGTAGATCGAGGCCTCCATGGTGAGGGAGGGAGTGAGGCAGGGGCTACCCAGCCAGGGCAGGGTGGGGTTCAGGACAGAGCCATCAGTGGCTTGTCTGGGGGATGCGGGGGGACAGCAGCTCCCACCACTGCGTGCACCCCCAGAGGCAGCATAGGGAGCACGTACCCCCCCCCGATCTGTGTGCAGGGTGAGGGTGGGCTGCCACTGCGGGTGGCACTAGGCTTTTCCCAGCGGGGGGTGGGGGGAGGGGGAAGTGGATTGGGCTGGGGCTGTGCTCAAGGCGGACAGTTGCAGTGCTGGGAGGGGGGCCTATGGGGTGGGCTACAGCCACCCCAAAATTAACCATAGCCCCCCAAACTCACCCCCCTCCCAGCACCACCTGCCCTGAGTGCAGCCCTGACCCATACCCCCCTCTGCCCAGGAAGAGCCCAGCACCACCCCCAGCCTCAGCCCACAGTGGCAGCCCACCCTCACCCCATGCACAGATCGGGGGGGGGGTCCCACCCTGCCTCCCCAGGGGTGTATGCAGCAGTGGGAGCCACTCCTCCCCCCTGGACAAGCCACTCGCAGCTCCATCCCAAGCCCCACTCCTTCCTTCACTGCGGAGGCCTCGATCTGCCCACTCCACACCCCTTCCCTCTACATGCACAGAGCATTGATCAGTGATGTTATCGGCCACAATTGGCCAAAAAAAGCCGATTGCCAATAATGTCAATTTTCCTTTTATCGGTGTCGATACAATATGGGTCAATGTATTAGTGCACCTCTAGGAATTACATGCCATAGGAACAACTCTATAAAGTACACAATTTTAACTATGCATTTTGAGATCATAAAAGACACAGGAGAGTTTTAATTAAATATGGTGCCTTACACTGCAGTTTATTTCTTAGCTATACTGGAGTTAAATAAATGTCATAAACGATATATCATATTTACTTGATTCAAGGATAAGTCTCCCCTCCTCATTTAACGCCTGGCCCTACTGCGCTGCCCAGTGCCTCCCTCCCCCTCAACTGTGTATCACTACCAGTTTCCCACTGCCTGCACCCTTACTGCCTCTCGCCCACTGCTGCTTTCCCTGCTGTAGCAGTGGGAGAGATGAATTTAAGACTACCCTCTAATAACATATAGAAAATAACAACAAATTTATAAGTTTCCCATGTACAGAATCTAATTATTGGAGGGTCATCTTAAATTCAAACTCATCTTGGGTCCAAGTAAATACAGTATTGCTTTGTGTCACAGAACATTAGGCTTGGAAGGGAGCTCAGGAGGTCATCACAAGGCAGGACCATCCCCAGCCAGATCATTCCAGATGGCTTTGTTGAGCTGGGCCTTAAAAACCTCCAAGGATAGAAATCCCATCACCTCTCTAGGTAACTCTTTCCAGTGCTTCACTACCCTCCTAGTGAGAAAGTTTTTCCTTACTATCCAACCTAAACCCCTCTTTCTGGAACTTGAGATCATTGCTACTTGTTTTGTCATCTTCCACTACTGAGAACAATCGAGCTCCATCTTCTTTGGAACCACCCTTCAGGTAGTTAAAAGCTGCTATCAAATCTTCCCTCAGCCTTTTCTGCAGACTAAATAAGCCCAGTTCCCTCAGCCTTTCCTCAGAAGTCAAGTGTCCCAGCCCCCTAACTGTTTTCACTGCCCTCTGCTGGACTCTCTCCAACTTGCCCACAACCTTTCTGTACTGGGGAGGCCCAAAACTGAACACAGTACTCCAGATGTGGCCTCACCAGTGCAGAACAGGTAGAATAATTATTTCCATTGATCTGCTGGCAACAATCCTAAAAATGCAGCCCAATACACTGTTAGCCTTCTTGACAACAAGAGCACACTGTTGGCTCATATTCAGCTTACTGTCCACTGTAATCCCCAGGTCCTTTCCTGCAAAGCTGCTGCTTAGCTAGTTGGTCCCCAGCACATAGCAGTGCATGGGATTGTTCTGCCCCAAGTGCAGGACTTTGCATTTGTTCTTACTGAACCTCATGAGATTTCTTTTGGTCCAATCCTGCAAGTTGTCTAGGTCACTCTGAATCTACTCTTCACTGTACCTACTACACCCCCTGCCAGCTTGGTATTATCCACAGGCTTGATCTGGAAAACGTGATGGGATTGCACTCTAACCATTAATGAAGACACTGAACAAAGCCAGCCCCAGGATCAACCCCTGGGGCACTCAAATTCATAGTTGTTAGGGGGATGGAAGGGATCTTACTAGATCATCGGGTCCGGCTCCCCTGCACTTAGGTAGGAAAGACTGCTGGGATCAGATGACCCCAGCAAGATGGGCATCAAGGAGCTTTTTAAAGATTGCCAGGGTGGATGACTGTACCACCACAGGGGGGTGTCTGTTCCAAGCCCTTGGTATTTGACTTGTAAAGAAGTTTTTCCTTATGTCTAGCTTGAAGCAATCCTCAATCAGTTTGTGCCCATTATTTCTTGTCCTCCCCTGGGGGGCCTTGGTAAACAGATGGTCCCCCAGACCCTGATGCATGCCCTTGATGTACAAACATGATCTGGAATCAAACAGAAACCAGTGCTTACAGGCTGCCAACCAGTCCCCTCTGAGTCTTTTCTTCTCCAGGGTGAACAGTTCCATGTCTTTCAGCCTTTCCTCACATGACCTGGTCTCTAGGCCTCTAATTATGTGCATAGCCCTCCTTTGGACTCTCTCAAGCGATACCACTGGGTACCATCTGCAAATCAGATCTTGAGCCATTGATCGTTACCCATTGAGCCTGACAATCCAGCCAGCTTTCTATCTACTTTACTTACAGTCCATCCATCCAACCCATACTTACTCAGTGTGCTTGCATAAATGCTGTGGAAGATTGTATCCAAAGCCCTGCTCAAGTCAAGGTATATCATGTCCACTTCTTTCTCCCCATCCACAGAGCCAGTCATCTCATCATAGAAGGCAATAAGGTCAGTCAGGCATGACTTGCCCTTGGTGAATCCATGCCAACTGTTCCCGATTGCTTTCTTCTCCTCCAAGTGCTTCGAAATGAACTCCTTGAGGACCAGCTCCATGATTTTTCTGGGAACTGAGGTGAGGCTGACTAGTCTGTAGTTCCCCATCAGCCTCACCGCAGTCCCCATAAGGAACACTAGCTCAAGGTCTCATACGAATTCCTACTGAGGAAGTGGATCACACCAAACATCTACAACCACTATTAGCAACCTCGTTAGGATTACGTCAGTAGCAGCTAATGACTACATAAGCACAGATACTGCTACCCTCATTCCCTAGGAAGGATCCCCCTTTAAGTCAGAATTGAGAAACCAATGTGCTGGAAATGCTGCACTACAGCTTTTCACATCAGGTCTGTTTTGTAAATAAGAGATTTTTGTGAGAATTGTTAATGCAGTACCTTTTACAGGGAATAAGGTCACTAAGTGCTATGTAAAATTCAGAATACTTTTAGATTATGACAGTTTTAAATACAAGTCAAATTTCAAATGTAAAGTTTAACTTTTTATTTAACTAAACCATATAAACACAGATGCATATACTGTATAAAGGAATTAGAAGCAGTTAATCTTTCAGTAATATTCAGTAAAGCCTTCAGACAAAATATTGAAGAAATCTAAACATATAACAGAGGAAACCATCCGTGTACAAGCATGCTCTCAAAGTAATAAGCAACCATGATCCAATTTAACCTTTTTAAAAATATTTTTACTATATACCTTAACTAAGAAGAAAAAGCTGTTTTCTAAACAAATGCATTCTCTCCAATTATGCAAGCTTAGTAATTCTAAATAAGACCACTGCCTTTCCATTTTATGTCTTTGCAACAAGGTATTTAGAAGAATTCACAGATTCATTGGAATCCGACAGGGCTGCACCATAAGCGCTTTTGCTGTGGCCCAATATGACCATTAATAATCTACAGAACCATCTAAATCTTCACCCTCAAAAAATTAAATTTGAAAACTTCAGTCTAATTACAGATGACATAGCCCAAGTTACTTATGTGCAAGTCTACAGAAGGGTGACCTCTCCACTACATATTCCATTGCAAAGTTTAACTCGATTTTACTTGGCTTTTGGGAGGGAAAAAAAATGCTTAATCAATTAAAGTAAGTACTTTAAAAACAAATGTAACATTCTGAATTCATTACCTGACCCAGAGCCTGAAGTAGTCATATCGTAAATTAAGTCTTTTAAAGTAGTTCCTTCTGATATAAAGGGACGATCCAATGAGGGATCTTCTTCACTTGGTACACGATGGTGAATGACAGTACGATTATGGCAGATATACAGAATTAACATTAATGAAATGCAAACAAAGCATACTGGTCCAGCAATGACAGCAGCCAGTTCCACAGGTCCTAGACTAGATGCAGGTTTTCCTGGAGTAGGGCCTAAACGTGGGGGTTTAAAAAAAAAAAAAAAAAAAAAAAGTGTTACTGTTTAATAACAGCAAGTTAGATCCAAGATAAAGAAAGAAAGAATCACCAACACACATACAGATTGGAAAATGACCTTCTAAGCAGCACAGTGGCAGAAAGGGATATTGGAGTCATAGTAGACTCCAAGATAAACGAGTCATCAATATGACAAAGTGATAAGTAAAGCTAACTACACTCTATCATGCATTAGCAGGTGCATCACAAATAGGTCTAAGGAGGTGATACGTCCCCTCTATGCAGCATTGATAAGGCTGCAGCCGGAGTACTGCATCCAGTTTTGGGCACCACACTTCAAGAAGGATGTGGATAACCTTGAGAGGGTCCAGAGCAGGGCTACTCATATGGTTAGGAGCCTGCAGGTAAGGCCCTACGAGGAGAGATTGAGGGACCTGGATCTCTTCAGCCTTCGCAAGAGAAGGCCAAAAGGTGACCTCGTGGCCATCTACAAATTCATGGGGGGAGGAGGGGCAGCAAGGAATAGGAGATACTCCATTTATCAGGGCTCCCTTTAGGGTAACTAGAAACAACGGCCACAAACTGAGAGAGAGTAGATTTAGATTGGACATGAGGAAGAACTTATTCACAGTAAGGGTTACCAGAATCTGGAATGGGCTTCCAAGGGAGGTGGTGCTCTCCCCTATCCTGGAGGTCTTTAAGAGGAGGTTAGACAAGCACCTGGCTGGGGTCATCTGACCCCAGCGCTCTTTCTTGCCCAGGGTAGGGGGTCAGACTCGATGATCTACTGAGGTCCCTTCCAACCCTAAAAATCTATAAAGGGTTTCTTTTAATGCTAGTGGCAGTATATTTTATTTCATACTGGTTCTTGTGTGCTTTTGGCATATTTATTTTAGCAAGATTTTTTTTTTTTGAGTCCAGGCTGTTGCAGGTCTCCAAAAGTCAACAGTATATCATGCAGACAAAAACATTTTTATTCAGTTAGAAAAATATATACATATAGTTAATGCAAGCAACTTGGCATTATGATGCAAAGAATTTTTAAAAATCTTAATAGTACTTAATAGTATTTTTATTTCTTGATGTAAAACTTCAGAATGATATTCATTAAGTCTAATATATGTCTTTAACCTTCATTCTTATACCAAACTTGGCTTATTTTGTTGCACACTTAAAAAAAAAAAAAGCAAACATTTTACCTGGTGTTGGAATTGGAAGATCTAATTTATTGCAGAGGTCTTTATCACAGCAATGAGGATTAGTAATAACTCCATCTCTTGAGGAGGGAGCACAAACAAATGGCCTGTCTCGGGGAATCAGATCAATTTCTGCTATGCACATGCTATTGTGCATGACTTTGTCTAAAGTCCGTGTCACTGAGGTAAAGCAGAGCCCATCTGTCACGCATGTAAAGTTGTCTTTTGTACAGAGATGACAATAACACTGTAAAGCTGTATTTAAAAAAAAAAAAAAAGGTTTTAGAGTTAGTTATGTGAAGTTTCATAGTTCATCCCCAGCCTTGAACTTGGAACCTTCTGGGCCCGCACACAAGCCACAAGCCACTCAGCCAGAGAGCTAAGTTCTGCTAAATCATTTTGCAATACTAATAAAGTTGAGGCTTTATGCAATTTTCTAAACTTTCAGTACCTACATACATATTTTTGGAACATAATAGAATGCTTCTTCAATGAACTAAAAAAAAAATTAAGAAAAGGGATGGGGAAGAAAGTCAGACTTATAAAAGGGGACATTGTTGTTTTAGGAGAGATTTATCTTCTCTATTTTACTTTATGTAGAGTCAGACAATAAGCGTTCACTTAAGATTTGAAAGTTAAAAAAAAGAAAGCTTAAAAAAAAAAATACAATTTACTGTGATGTGTAATATTACATAATATATCCCCCAAAGCATTTAGGATCCATTCCTGCTTCTGATGAAGCCACTAGGAATACTGCCATAAACTTCAACAGATACAAAAGCAGATCTTCAGTGTGTGGCCAAAGTACCTCATCTTGCTGGCCACTCATCAGGTATGAAAGCACCATCGTAACTCCTGACAGTATGAAGAACTTTTGCTACTGGCTGGGAGTAGAGGCCTTTTTAAAATTAGGAGTTATATCGGAACAAACCACACACACAATTCCTTTTGATTTCAATAGACCTTGGTTTGATGCCTTACTGTGAAGGTACACTAGAAGACTGCCTGGGATGGCCCTATTCCAGTTAGCTGTATTAAAAAGGCCAGCTGCATCACAAATGGGGGGAAGGGGCGGTGCAGTGGCAGGAACTTAACACATCATAGTCCAAATGAGCTAGATTAGGCATACTCTGACTTTAGCTCCTTGAGAAAGGAACTCACTACTTCTGTTTTTTCTCTGTAGTCCTGTTCACGTGTGAACTGGTTTCCCTCTGTTTTTGGACCCCCACCCTTTTCTGGCAGCAGTGTCAGCACACCAGCTCCATACATTTGTGGAAAGAATAAAAAGTTATATAGGCTTTGGAAAACACTCGCTTCTTTATCGTATTTCCTGGCAAAATCTAAAATCATTATTCTAAGGCCTTTTAAAAGTGTAAGAAACCCATTAAATCAGAGTTCAAAGTCCAAGACACTCTCTAGAAATACACAGCAAAAGACAACAGCAAAAGTAGTTTTCTTTAAACTTTTGGTTTGGTTTTGTAGCATATCACAACAATACCATATTAATTTGGGACCACAGGAAGTGGTAGAAATGTTAACTGCTGCAGCTCTCGAAACAATGCTGCTACTGCCCCCCTGCTGGCCAGTTTCTGGACCTGTGAGAAGCCCCTGCAGTCCAACTGACACAGCCTCATGCATCAGATTAGGCCGATGTATGGTCGCTCGGTGCCCGGATCTGGCATGCGGGGGTCACACTGGCATGCTAGACCACACCCATAGCCTGACCCCATGCTTATCTGGCCTTTGGATGGACCCCATACACATGATTCAGCCAATGGACCAGCTTCCTGACACTCATCTGGCCCGTAGGACTGGAAAGGTTGAGCACCGAGGTGACAGGCTATTCTCTGTGGCTGCAGAATACAGGGCAAGAAGGAGAAGTCTTATACTGCAGCAAGGAAAAGTTAAGTTGGATATTACAAAAAATGTTCCAAGTATGAGGGTGGTCAAACACTGAAACAGAGTACCTAGAAAGGCTGTGAAATTTCCATCTCTGGTAGTTTTTAAATGCACATTAGGCAAGAATTTGACTAGGCTGGTTTAGAGATGGAAACTCGCTGACATGTGGTGCCTTGATGGCTGTAGTTATATATGCGTCCAGGAATTTAACCTATGTCCCCGCATGGCAGACAAGGATTCTACCACTAAACCACAACAGTGGGTTTCCATACGTACGTGCTCACTAAATCAGTGAAATATGGTCCTGGCAATTAGCTAGCTTAAAAATTACCAACCCACACTTTCTAATACTCTATCAAAGTTAAGTACAGTAAAAGCTGTGTTAACTGGCACTTTATTAGCTGGAAAACTCTATTAACCAGCATCTGAGTGATGCAGCAAAAGCAAAACCGGAAGTACCACTTCTAGGGGACTTCCCGTTTCACCACTGAAAGCTGAGTTTTTCTTTGCCACCTTTTCTGCCCACACCCCAGGACAAACCAGCCTGCATGGGAAAAAACAGCCTGTGCGGGGCCACCCTCCCTGTCCCCCAGCACACTGACACTGGGGAGCGCACCAGATGGTGCACATTTGATTCACCAGAATATTTGATTAACCTGCATCTCCCATTCCCGGGGGATGCCGGGTAACAGAGCTTTTACTGTAATTTTTACATAGTGGGCACTGAATTTTTCTAGTAAGAAAAAGTACAATTTATTTATATAGTCCCATGGCTGTACAGCTAGCCACACCACTACTATTTGCACTTGGAATTTTTATACATATTCTTCTCAATTATAAATGTCAAATATCTTTCTTTACTGTCTTTCAACATAGCATACAAAGAACCTTTCATTTGAAGTTGAAAATAGCTAGTTACTGATAATTAATTCTCATGGATAATTAGTCATCACTCCCAATCCCCTTGGAATGATGAATATACCAAATTTTACTATGTTAAGAAACCAAAGAAAGGGTTCAAAAAATCAGTTTAGCATAAAGGTACAACTGGAAACAACAGAAGAGAACAAAATTATAGTTGTGGAGTGGTAGGGGTGGACAGAAGTTTTCAACACTTTCCCATACTGTACGGTATTAAAATAGTCTTCAAAAGGAGTAGATTAATCTCAGTCACTCATACGCAATACAGATAGACCAGGACATTCACCAAAAGATGCACCAACAAAGGAATAATCTCCAATTTATATTGCCATGTTTTGCAAGTATTTGAGATCCTCATTAATCCATATATTTTATAAGGTGCCCACAAATTTACTTCCACAGCATAGCAAGGAAAAATGTATTTTTCTCTACCCATGACAGGCTCTGAAGATGTTACTTCCTCTCTCCACACAACTAAACTGTTTCAGAGACCTCTCTTGCATGCCTGACTGCCTCAGTGTCATGGCATCACTGCAGTGGGTTCAGGGCTTTGCTTAGCTCAGAAGTCTCAAAACTCAATAGACTTATTTCCTGGTCACACCTGACCCACAGGAAAGCTCTTAAACATGACTCAGCCCTCAATAACACAACTTAAAATTAGGGGTGCGCTGACAGAGATTTTTGAGGCCATTACCGATATCCAATTTTTAAGGGGGCATATAAGCCGATACCAATCCAATTTCCGATATAGCGTGGACAGCTGCCTCTAGCTGGTAAGTCCATTGTGGTGGAAGGGGGGTGGGGGCAGATCCACCCCCCCACCACGGTGAAGGAGGGGGCAGGGCACAGATGCAGCTCATTGTGGGGGGCCAGCTCATGCAACTTGCATCCTGGGAGGGTGCCTGGGGACATGGGCCCCCCTGGATCTGTAAGAAGCAGGGCAAGCTGGAGCTGGGCTCTTCTTGCTGGGGGCTGGTTTCAGAGCAGGGGCTACAGAGGGGGCTACAGCCATCCCAAGTTTCACTGAAGCTCCCTCTCAGCCACTGCTGCCACGCACCTGGTGCAGCCCTGGCTCAACCCCCACCTCCACCCATGCAGGGTGTGGGACGGAGGTGCAGCTTGTTAGTGCAGGGAGCAGCTCCCGCCCAGCGCTGCCACCACTGTGCACTCGGCAAAGCCCCAGCTCTTCCCACCATGTGGGAGGTGGGGGTTGGGCCGGGAAGAGCCGGGGCTGTGTCAGGCATGTGGTGGCAGCAGCGCTAGGAGGGAGATATGACAAAATCTGGGATGGCTGCAACCCCCTCCGTAGCCCCTGCCCCGAGCCCCACCCCTGGTGAGAAGAGCCCGGCTCCAGCCCACAGCTGCAGGCCACCTACTTGTTCCACGTTGATCTGGGGGGGGCACACCCACCCCTCCCTGCGCCCTCCTGTGGTGCACGCAGTGGCAGGAAGTGCCCCCCCCAAAGAGCCATGAGTCCATCCTGTGTCGCACGCCAGCGGGGCAGCACCTGCCCCCTCCTTCCCTTATTGGGGTGGGGGGTGGCGATATGCCCACTCCACACCCCTACCCTCCTTCCTCCCCTTCCACTACAATGGATCTACCAGCTGGAGGCAGCTCTTCAAGCTGCCGGGCTCTGCTCCTCGCTGCCTAAATGCTGCACTGCAGCTGCACACATACACTGGCATTTATCAGCAAAATTACTGGCCCTATTGGGCCAATTTCCAATACAGCCAATTTTCGTTATATCAGTACCAATCCGATATCGGACCAATGTACTGGTGCACTTCTACTTAAAGTAGCCTACACAAGGCACGCACATGGTCTTGAGCCTTCTCCAGCCTCTGAGAAGGTGCCTCCATCTCTCTGCTTGCAGTTTTCCCTCTCAGGTTGTCTTTAACTCAGTGCTGGTGTGGTGCTGCTGCTTCCACTCTTACAGCCCTCAGGTCTTCTCCCAGACCCTGCGTCGCTCACTGATTCTTTCCCTGTCTCTCTTTGGTTTTCTCTCCTTGGAGGTCTCTTAGCTTCATGTGGCCAGCCAATTATCTGGATTAGCTGGGCCAGTTCTACACAGCCTGTAATCATTTCTAACTGTCTGCAGCTGGGCTGTAGCCCATGTAGCCTGGGGCACGCCTCAGGAAAGCCTCTGCCAACCAGTCTGCTACAATCACCCTCTCTGAACAAGTGATTTCTACAAAGCCTAATCTACCTGTCCTGCTTCCACACCTTGCTTCCTTCTACTACGACAAAATTCACATCATACACTTCAAACTTCACAAAACACTTTACATTGTAATTTCAGCAGCAGTGAGAGACCTCCCTCACATTGCACCCCAACTTTTATTTCCTTCACATTAGGACATAATGCTTAGTTATGCTTAAGTGACCTGTTCCCACCAACATGCCTTCATCCCCTTTCTGAAATAGTCTCCCTTTCACAATTGGATAGCAGTTATA